CGGTGCAATGTTTGATAATGTCCTCAGTTGAGCACCATTCTGGCAGTGTGAAATGCACTGGTCACATAGGAGTTGGACCATGGGCAATGTCTGACTCTAGTAGAGAAGACAGTCTGTTTATGAGTGAACTGTTACTGCATATTGTATTTTTAAAGTTGTGATGATTTTATATGATAAAGCATTAAATTATCCCCTCCCCCTTTTTAATTGAATATTTCTGCTCTGCCTATGCTTAAAGCCAATCATGTGCTAGATTCTGGGAACAGATTTGTGAATGAATGCCTCTGCCTGTATAAGGCTTACAGTTTTGGGAGGTAACAGAAAAATCTGACATTCCCCCTCCCGCATCCCCCTGATACTATAATGACTAGTGAAAAATTGAAAGTATAAAACAAACTTAAATTTTGGATAGATGAAATTCATACTTGCTAAGTATGAAATGCATTTGCATCGTGTGGGTAGCAGTGATTTTTAAACTACAAATTCTTTCTTAAAGCTATAGCTTTAAGTTTTAAGTTTGTTTAGTACCAAGGGTAAGTAAAGAAGTATCAGTACAAGGGTTCTAGTTCACACATGCATGTTTATTCCAAATAAAATGTGTTCACATGTTCTACGATCAGTGATTAACTGCAGACAAGTCCTCTTGTCTCCTTAACTTGCTGCCATTGAGTTGATGTTGGTGACCCTATAGGACAGGATAGAACTGCCTCGGTGGGTTTCTGAGAATATAACTATTTACAGTAGTAGAGAGCCCAGTCTTTCTCTTGGGGGTGTGGCTGGTGGTTTTGAACTTCGGACCTTAAGGATGGCAGCCTAATGTGTAAGCACTATATCACCAGGGCTCCTATTAGTCTCATTAGTCTCCTTGAACAAATCCAATCAAAATAGTGGTTTCCAAGGGGATCTGCTAATCCAATTAAATTCAAGGCATAGAAAATATGAGAACGGTTTTTGGGACTTCAGAAAAGCATACTGATAAGTTATGAAGAGTTTTAAGAAAATGGAAAACTGCATTGGTGAGAAAAAGGCCAAGGAAGTTGTGCTGTGGAAGTTTTTCTATGTCACAATGTATTTTTCTTCTAGGGTAGCACATTTTTGTTCTATAAAAATTTTATTAGGACATTTTACCCCAACCATACTATAGCTTTGATTTTACTTTTGACTTTTTTTGTTGTTCCCCAAATAAACAGAACATTTTTAAAGGACATGATTTGAGACCTGTGTTGTTAGGTGCCCTTTCCAAATCATAGCGATGATCACAGAATGAAACACT